GTAATTTTCCTTTAATAACCATACATATTTTGTGAACAGTGTTAACTGGGTCAATATACTTTTTACACAATGCTAACATTAATAATACAATTAAATATACATAATTGTTGTCTTCTTCCAACATCTAATCTTAATAGACATATTGTAATTGTAATAGATTCCTTTATATATCAATGTATATAATACTATTTTCCCAATTTATACTCATTTTTTCTCATTTGTTGGGGTTCTTCTACATTCACATCTTTGTCTTTCTCTCTTTATGATTCTTTACCACTTTCTCCATAAATGGGAGAGCAATGGATCTCTATCCTTGCAGGAAGGAGGAAGAGGTAGAGAAAGAGAGGATGCCATGTTGGAGTTTTCTTTAGGCTGAGTAAGTTTCCACACAAGCTTTCAGTTCCAAATATATTTCTTACCAATGCAAGATCTCTGACTAACAAAATGGATGAATTAAGGCTACAGATTGCAAAGACTAAATTCATCAAGAACTGCTGTGTTTTGCTAATCACAGAAACTTGGCTTCATTTACTCATTCCAGATGCAGCTGCTAAACTGGAAGGCTACATAACTCACCAGCAGGACAGGAGTAGAGATTCTGGCGAGAGCAAAGGGGGAGGTTTAAGCACAAAACATAATCACCGAACCAGGGTGTAACACCGGTTGAATCCCACCCCTGACCGGTTGCTTTCATGGTATGGAGACAATAACTTGGTCCTCAACACCAAGGAGCTTATAGTGGAGTATAGAAGGAACAGATCAGACATCCAGCCCTTGCTTATCAATGGAGACAGAGTGGAGCAAGTGGCCAGTTTTAAATTTCTGGATGTTACCATAAAAGAGGACCTGACCTGGGGTGCTCACATTGCAGCACTGGTCAATAGGGCCTAACAGAGATTATACTACCTGAGACTCAGAAAACAACAACTGAATGAAAAACTGGTGGTGACCTTCTACCGCTGCACCATAGAGAGTATCTTCACTTACTGCACCTCTGTATGGTTTGCCAATTGCACAGTGGCAGATAGGAAAGCACTCCAGAGGGTTAACGTCATTGCCCAGAAGATCATTGGTTGCCCTCTCCCCTCTTTGGAAGAGCTTTATAGCTCCCATTGCCTTAAGAAAGTTCAAAACATTCTTAAAGATCCATCTCATCCTGGGAACCCTTTTTTGAACTATTACCATCTGGCAGGCAGTACAGGATAATAAAAACAAGGAAAATTGGCTGAAAAACAGCTTCTATCCCAGGGCAGTAACTCTACTGAATTCTACTGTATAGTGCAATATTAATGCAGTATCATGGGTTTTAAATTCAATGTATAGAATGTGAAGGATGTGTGTTTGTGTTTATTTTCTGTCATAATGTACACTGAAGTTAGTATTGAATTTCATTGTACAAGATGCAACAACAATAAACTAAACTAAAACTAAACTAAAATATATTTAAACATCAATAACCTTTCTTCATACAATGTGTTTGTTGTCCCCTGTTGAATCACTAATATTTTAATATTTTAAATTACTCAATGTTCCACCATAATTCCAGTATCTCAATTTTCTAGAAATACCAATAAAACCAATTATTAATAAGATTTAATCAGTCCCCTGATTATTTCAAGTCCCCTGTATTTATAGTCCTTAAAAGCTATAAGTTTCAATATATTTTTTACACACTGTTAATAATAATACATTTAAATATACCTAATCAGTCTTCCACCTTCTAACATTAATATATTTGTAGTTATAACAAATTCTATTATATGTCAATATGTATACCACTATATTCCCAATTTATACTTTTTACTTTCTCTATTAGTTTTTAATAGTCACCATATTGCAAGATATTTTATACTCCTAGTATCACTTTTTAAAGTATTTAGAACCCTTCTGAGGAAGAATAGGCTAGAAGAACAAATAATAGGCTGTTGTGATGTATTCTTTTCCGATAAAAATCATTTGTATGTATTCAGAGTTCCTGTCATAATGTCACCAGAATAGACCAAAGGATAGAATTGATACTGATGTTTGCTTCAGGGTTTGATTCCATCTGTCTGTATCATCACTCTGTGGTTTGTGTTTGATGCTTAGTAGCTGTTTCATAGAATCGTTTAATTATACAGCAGGTCCTTTTCACTACAGGTCCTTGGGCAGGAGTTCGAATTAAAGCATGCAGTTAGTTACCGTAATCCTTTGTTTGGACACATCCTCTGAAAAGGAGATACCAGCCTTGAATCCAACTATATTGAACAGCTATCCTCTAGTCTCCAGACTTCAATTTTGGGCAAATGTAGTAGACAAAGTGACAGGGCAACAGATACAAAATATTATCAAACTTTCTATCACTATCTTTTTAACCATGCCTGAGTATAGAATGAAAAGTGTACTGATTGTTCCCATCAAAATTTAGAAGTAGGATTGGGATTGGGAAATCACAACTGTACTTGGTCTGTTAATTGTTTTTACTTTTTATTTTTTTGTAAAAAATTATTTGGGTTTTCACAAAACATAATACAAATAAAATATCTTTTTTTGAGAATAGCATGGTTATCACTTCTCCATACAGACACAAACTCAATTTCATATTCATCTTTGTGTTCTATTCCATATCTTTTTACTATTTTAACATTTTCTCAATAATTTTTCCCCTCCCTTAGTTTTCTCAACCTTGCTTTTAAGTATCTCATTCCTTTCTAAATTCAATTATATGTATCTTTTTCTAAGTTTCAATATCTTTGTAATTATTATATTTATACTTTTGTCTGTCCCGTTTCAATTTAATATTTTCTTTTCTCATTAAACAAAATTTTCCCCTGTAATTATTGATTGGAGTATGACACCTTTGTATCTTTTAATTTTTGTCCATTCAACTCTTATTTAAACTTCAATTTATGCCTTTACCTTTATAACATTCAATATAACACAGTTGAATTCAGTTGAATTCTCCTTGGTACATTCTTCCAGTTGAATTCTCCTTGGCACATTCTTAAAATACACACTAAGTTCTTAAAGAGAAAGTATATATGTAACAATAATAAATAATATACTTATTCTATTCCAATTCAGCTCTCTCATTAATGCTAGTTATAATCTTTAACATCTTTAACATTTCTTTTCAATGGGATATCATACTTCCTTAGGAACACTTATAATAATTCCATAATTTTTTCATATTTCTTTCATATTCCTCTTCACTTAAATTTTTATAACTCATTAATAATAATTAAAATGTTCCCATCCTTTCCTAATTTCATTCTCTCATTCTTTTTATTTCATTTATTTATTAACAAACATTCCATTCCAATGAGCATTATTAATGTTAATGATTTTTAATACCATCGCCCAGGGTATCCTTCTGGTTTGTCTGTGAGAGTTGGAATCGAAGGAATCATTTTTACATGGTTCTGCTCATTTCCGAGTGAACAGAAGTGTATATGGGACATGGCAGCATGAGATATCATGATATGGAAAAACATGAGCAAGGAGAAGAGGGTCACATTTTGTGGCATCTCATTCCTCTTAAATACTACATGAAGCAGATGTGAGAGGTCACTTGATTTGAGAAATGCCATCATCAATATCCACACAATACCAAATTGTATATATTCCCGCATAAATGAAAGATATGATGGAAATTTTGATTTGATATCTGAAAAATATAAAGGTGTAGATTTGGAGAACCATGCCAAGACTCAACCAAGATGGAATGGCTATTGATTTAGAAGTCAATAGTCTAAGATAGCATCAACAGTTTTAAATAGGCTGCTATTCCACAGAAAGAGCTGGGCATCCTCATGGACTTAAGTTTCTGCTGAAACAGCTAGTGGAAGCTGTATCCAGGAGACTCTTTGTCACACTCCTGATGTCCCAAAGGTGCTTTTTCAAGAGGGAACTGGACTTTCTTGGTTTTTTTTTAAAGAAGACATTTCGCTTTTCATCCAAGAAGCTTCTCCAGCTCTGAAGAAGTTTCTTGGATGAAAAGCAAAATGTCTTCAAAGAAAAATAAGGAAGTCCAGTTGCCTCTTGAAAAAGCATCTTTGGGACAACTATGACCTGTTGACTGAGAATCTCCATAGACACACACCTGATGGTACATCACTTATGATCTTTTCTGAAACAGAAGGCGCTCGCAATGGCCACTCATGGCCTTACCATTTCATTCTGAGATGACCAATTTACTTTGCATGATTACCCAGAACTGCAGCTGCTATAAAGTTCAAGTTCCTGCATGCCTACAAGAGCAATCTAATGTTGTCATATTATGTAAGATCTGCTGGAGCTGAATTGTTTGTTGGTGTAACCCAGGATCATCTTTTTAACCCACAAAACCTTTCATGTCTTGGATCCTGGGTATTTCCATAACCACTTATTCTAAATGGAATCTGGTTACCTGCTAACAAAAATCTGCCACTTGGTTAAAAGTGGTAATTTGCAGTTTTACAAATGGGTATTTTTGTTTTTAGAAGCTTATATTTAAAAATAGACAGGTACGGTTTATTTATTACACTAATATATGATTTAATATTGAATTACTGAATAAAATATGGTAATTAGGCTGGATTCATACATCATACAAAGCCAAAAGTTATGGTTTATAAACTTCAGTAATTTGGTTTATGATCTGCACAAAACTAAAATAAGCCATCTTATAGGTTAGCATAATGTGTGAACTCAACCATAATGTGAAAGATGATAGGATGTGGGGCAGGAGAAGAAAGAGCAATCAAAGGATTTTCCATGTCTGAAACAAATTTTTTAAAAATGAAGATATATCCTTGGAAAGTAACAAAATGTGATCCTCAATACTATGGAACATAACTTAAAATATTTAAATTTAGAATGATCACAGCAAGTGTTTTATTTTCAAGCAGGACAGGAAAATGGTGTACCTTTTGAGTTTTGTATGCTCCCTAGTAATGTTTACCCAGAGATTCTTTTATACTTTTAGGGAAATTTGGTTTCTAGAGTATGTAATTCTGTACAATCTAACATATAATCTGATTTTCAATTTATTTCTGAACAACAGTAATATACAAAGATTAAAATCCAGCTGCACAGACACTTTTAACAGCATCAATCAAATGAACTATTTCACCATAGAGTTCCAATTTTCACAATTCATAGCAAGAATTTGAGACTTCAGGATATGGGGTAAACAGGTGCACTTTCATTATAAAATGGTAAAAAGAAATGGTTTGCCAGACAATTAATTTTCAAATGGTTGCCTTGTATGATTTAATATGAAATTCAAAGGAACAAAAATGTGACTAGGAGTAGATTACTTAACTTGAATTTGAATGTATATTAAATCCAGATAAGCACAAACACTGGTCCTATTAATGGTGAATTGGTATACAACATGCATTCCAACGGGACAAGAGAATATCTAGATCTTAATTTACTCTAACCCTACTCTGCTGCTTGGCGCTAGCAAGTACAAAGTATATCTTAACATATGCTTTGTGATAAAATCAAACTAGCTATTATGAAGATGTGATAAAAACTTATATAAAACAAAAACTCTCAATTTCAAAAATTCATAGTTTATTATTTCTAATAACATATTATACTGCATAAATACTCTATTTTGTTATATGTCTTTTCTTTAAAAAAGTGATAACTTAAGAAATTGTTTTAGACAAGAAATATAAAAATAAATACATTCATGACCGTATATGCATTTGTTATCAATTATAATCCTTCTTAGAAGGGAAAAAAATAAATACTTATAAAGTATATATCATTTGTAATACACTTTACTATATACATATGAAGAGACACATTCTCTCATAGTCTATAGCCTACCAAATAATTTTAAATATGCAAATACTGGAAAACTGCTGTGGATGGACCTGCTATCCTGCAGCTTAATCTTCCCTGCTTTATAAGAGATTTCAGCAGTGTAAAGTTTTTGTATGCAATGAGACAACTTAAGGGTCTTCCAGATATCTTGTGACTGTTATGTCTTGTATTTCCCAACCAGCATAATATTTGGCTATGTTGGTTGAGCACATCTGGAATTAATTTGGATATGGAAAACTGTTATAAGAGACGTTCCATTTATAGTGAAATTTTATGTTTGCAAAAGGTCGTATGTAAGCATGTTACTTCTGACCACCATGGCAACTGTTACTGTATGTGAAATGGCAGCCTGTCAGGATTATTTCATGAAGAAGCCAGCTTTCATATAAAATTTATGCGTATGTTCCAAAGGTCTATTAGATTTTGGAACAAATATGTTAAAGGGAAGAGAATTAAATTTGGGGTAGTTCTTTCTTTCTTCCTAACTAATATGTGGCTTTGAACTGCAACGTATCTCTTAAGAAGATTAAATACATTCTAATGTTTGGAATTTTAAGCATCCAGGACTACTTGTTTTGCTCCTCCATTAGAAATTTAGTTGAAAACTCTCTTTAAATAATGTGGGTTTTGTTACGTATGAGGTAGGCAAGACCTGACCAATAATTAAAGAACTGCCTTTTTATTTCCCCACTTTGATCAGGAAAGGAATTTTTTCAGTGCAATAAAATTGCCAGAAGTTAAAAAAAAATGCTATTCCTGCCAATGTTTCCTTAAATTTGTTTTGGGCATGGCATACTTTGTTTAATTTGTAAAAAAACTAAGATTAAGAGATGTGTGTTTCCGAATTTGCTGGCAACTAAACTGGCATTTTTATCTACTGTTTATACTGACAGGATTCCTTCCTACTCCATGATTTAATACCATCTAATAATATTTGCACTGTCCCATCTCAGTGACTCTACTCTGAATTTCCACACACAAATTACTGTTGCTACCTCTCACTTTCAGCGCTTTGGTCTGAATATACATACATACGTACATACTTATATATATAGCTTTAGATTTCTATTATAGTTTAGCTGCAAAGTGTAACATTACAAAAGTCTATTAAATGTTTTGGCTTTTTTGAAAGGTCACAGTTTTCATGTGTCAAAATTGTACCATCAAAGGAAATGCACTTTAATAACCTCTTTTTGAAACCCTTCCCACATGTCTTGGAACACAGTGACCAGTTTCCTAGCTGCCATCGTGGGCATGGTGTGTCTGCACATGGTCGTACATCATTTGGCTTCAGTTCTTTTGCACAGTCTGAGGCAGGTCGTCCACTAAGGTCTCTGCATTGTACAGATCTCCTCTGCCAGCCAGTACCACATGACTTAGAACATTCTCCCCATTCTTCAATAATCCATTCAGATAAAACTGTCTCCTTGATTGCATTGAAAGATTCAGTCTTACTGATAGGCTCCTCTGAACCCAACTGTGTTGATTTCTTCATAAAATAGGTATATTTGATTTTAGATCGAAATGAATCACCAACAGTAAGGACCTGTATGGTTAATGGTTCCTTCAGTGGACTGAAGCTACGAATTCTTTCCAGAGAAGCAGATGAACCACTATACCTCAAAACATTTCCTTTATAAGTAATATCTTGCTCCATTGTTGTTAGTGTATAGTCACCATTGAGAATATAAGTATCAGCCACTTTGAGTGCAAGGAAGCTTCCATCTTGCCGTGTCCCCCTATGATTTCGTTGCTTCACTTCTATGTTTGTTGCCCCAGCAGGAATCACAGCAACATCCTGGTAACCAGGTCTATAAGAAAGAAGAGCTATTGTTGAATACCAGCACCTCTTAATTATTAAGGACTCCTATCACGGGCAAGAACTTAGGTTGAATCTTATAATAAAGTAATGTATCTTGAAAACTTTGTAACTAAAATAATATAATACCATAAAACCTGCAGTTCATTTACAATATTAATCATTGCTTCCTATAGTGATTTCATTAAACAATTCAAATGAAAAAAATAAATCTTCCATGGTAATGAGTAGGGTAACAACTCCTAAAATGTGAAAACACACCTGATGTTAGAAAACATTCCAGATACTTTCTTGCAGGTAGATCCATTGCCTCCGCAGATGCCACATTTATCAAACTTCTTACTGGATCCTATGACACGATCACATCCTGCTTTTATACATTGCCCTTGAACACAGATTGAAGTGGAATCTGGGCTACATAAAGTTCCATCTACCACCTTTAAAGCAAGGAAGACTTGATTAGAAGTTATACAAAGTTTATCATAAATTTTTAAAATACTGAACAAAAATCCAGTCAGTTAATCTATTTTAACTTTCATTTAAAATCAAAGTGTCCTTAGGGTTTATATATTATGTTAATGTGGACTATGATATAGTGCCATTATGATTTCGTTATGATTTGTGAATCACAAATTAAGGTTTTTATACTTGTTTTGTTAGTTAATTTCATAATGGAAACCAAGTCAGAAGCGTTTGAGTGCTTTTTGGAAGTAAAATGTTTAATAATTACTATACATTGCTAGAATACCAAGAATGATCACAGCTGATGGCAGCAAGTGGCCAAATGCTACTTTATTACAGAAATTCTACCAGCAGTCAAAGTTAACAAATACATCCATATAAAGAGTTTGATGTATATGATATGCACTTGCACCCACCTTTGGTTGAAGAACAAAAAAATATCCAGTGCCTTTGGCAAGGCAAACCAGCTTGCATCTGTCTTTGGGAGAGACTCCAGCAAACTTAGGTATCCATTCCACTGCAAGGCCAGTTCCAAAAGATTTGGAAATATCATTGTGAGCCTCACATTGTTCCTCCCTGAAAGTTTTGGCTGTAAATTGCAAAGACACTGTGATCAGGTTTAGGAGACTCAAGTTTTATTTTATAATTGCATTTATAAAATAACTGTAAAACTTACTATTCTCTGGACAATCTTCAATATTACAGGACCTGTACTGCACACGCTTGCCTTCACAGTACTTTCCTCCATTCTTTGGAACTGGGCTATCACATTCTCGCACAGAATATTGCACCCCTCCACCACATGTTCGTGAACACTCTCCCCATGCTTCCCATGAGCCCCAGCCTCCATGAACAGGAATCTACAATTCGAAACACAGAAACAAATGTCCATATTGAAACAACTTGTAAAAGCATTTTATAAGTGGAGGGTGGCATAAAATTTAGAAATAGTTATGATCCTATTCTTTACGTAATGTGTATTATGATTGTAGGGCTTTAGGCTTGCGAGGTAAAACAACACCCTTTCATGCTATTCAAAACCAGCAAAGAGTAATAAAGCATATGCACTTTTAGTCATAACTGATACATATTGAATCTAATGGTATTTCTTCTCAATACACATATACTAGGTATTTCTGATAAATCTGCGGTACAAAACGTGTTCTCATTTGTAGATCATTCCAGGGTAGATCACCAAAAAAGATACAATAATTGTTTATTATAACTTATTTGTTACTTTTATTATTAATTACTGAATGGCAAATTAATTTTAAACACAATTTTGATAATATTTTTCTGCAATGATCATCAAATGGTGCGTCAAATTTTATTCACTTTTAAAGCAAATAAAATTTTTATTAAATAAAAATTTAAAAGCAAAATTTAAAAAATATCTTGTTAAATTAAAAATTAAACCTGAATAACTCAGAATATTTTTCATCTTACTCAACTACAAGCAAACAACAACTTACATCATATAGCTTCTTGTCTGTTTTATTAACGCACTTGCCATTCATGCACCATTTTCCCTCTCCACACGTGGTGCCATCTGCCCAAGGAAAGTGTTTTGTTTGGCACATAAGCACTCCACCAGAAGTACCAGTACACCACAAAGTTGTACATATGCTAGCAGAATCAGGACAATGTTTGGATTCTTCCCCAAATGTAAATTGGCACTGTCTATTAGCATCATACATTGTGCCAGGAAGATCAGAAGGGAACGTCAATGGCTTGTGAGGTTTGTCCAGCAGACACTCACCTGGAAATAACAAAGAAAACCATATTGTGACTTTTGACTATCTTTTCTTTAAATATTGTAGTGTCACTGTTTGAAAAATGATAGAAATTAGAATATATCTATTCAAATGCCTGACACATTAATTTACAAGAGAAATTTTAGTCTATTAACTTTTCTGGTTTAAATTTAAAGAATGTTTATAAATATAAAGTTATATGAAGTATGTTTGGTAGGCCACATAATTCAGCACTGCATACTATTCATCCATCCATCCAATTTATATAACCTTCCATCTCACCCAAGGCAATTCTGGTCAGTTCATAACAATAGATTAAAAAGTGAGAGTAGAAAAACAACAAATATGGATATAAAAGACCATAATAATAAATATCCAAATATCCTGAAAACAAACTAGCAACCAATGCAACTTGAGGAGCTGAGGTTTAACATATATTGTCCTAGGAGTTCATATAACTGACTGTGTCATTGCATTCTATACGAGATACTTTTCAATGGAAGCACATTGCAGCAGTGAAAGATGGAAGTGTCTAGGGCAGGGGTGTCAAACTCAAGGCCCAGGGGCCAGATGCAGCCTGTGGGCTGTCTAGATCTGGTCTGCAGAGCTGCCCTGGAAATAATGAAGGACAGGCCCACAGTGCCTCTTCTAACAAAAACAGAGGAGGGTTGCGTGCAGCTTTCTCGAGCTCCGTTTTGCTGGCAGAGCGTTGCAGGAGGCCATCCCAGCCGAAAATGGAGATTGGGAGCCCGTTTTCTCTGGCAGGGTGACCCAGCCACTACAGACACCCCCAAACGAGTGACATAGAGCTAGCCATGCCCACCCTGGCCATGCCCACCCTGGCCCTCCAAGGTTAATCACAACCCTGATGTGGCCCTCAATAGAACCAAGTTTGATACCCTGGTCTAGGGCAAGACTGACTGTAAAGAGTGTCTGACTGTAAAGAGGATCTAGAAACAGGTACACTTGGGGTACGAACCCCAAGACGAACCTGTTCAAACACCCTCCTAACCATGACTGCTCCCTGCAAAGGAATTATGAAACTAGAAGGGCCCTCTTATTATGTATTGGATCTGTCTGAGGTAGTGTAACCTCAACCAGGCACCAAAGATAGCATAGTTTTCAAATCAGTAGAATAAGTAGAATTTCAGATGAAGCCTGTTCTTTCCCTTAGCCTCCACCATGGGATAAAATATTCATGGCGTTGCTTATTTTGCCAGATGTAGAAATATACAATTAGATATACTTCACCCTGTGGCAATGTATAAGCTTACCCAATGGCCTGATGAAAAGAAAGAAATGAGAAAACAATGAAACTTGTGGCATCCACATGATAGCAGCTGAAGGCAGGATATTTCCTCCTGAATCATCAACTGGAATCAGCCGTGAAGGAAAGAAATGATCCTGCATAACACCATGCTGCCCATCTCCAGCCATATAAGCCAGTGGTGGGATTTAAAAAAAAAACTACTACTGTTTTTGTGGGCATGGCTTGGTTTGGTGGCCATGGCTTGGTTTGGTGGCCATGGCTTGGTTTGGTGGCCATGGCAGGGGAAGCATACTGCAAAATCTCCATTCCCACTCCACTCCTGGAGGAAGGTTACTGCAAAATTGCCATTCCCTCCCTACTCCTGGGGGAAGGATACTGTAAAATCTCAATTTCCTTTCCACCCCACTAACCTGCTTTCCAGCTCTGTTCTCCTGTGAAGGGCAACAAAAGACCCAGCTGATCAGCTGGGACTCAGGAGGCAGAGAATAGATGAGGGCAGGACCAGTCAGAGGTGGCATTTGCCAGTTCTCTGAACTACTCCAAATTTCCGCTACCAGTTCTCCAAACTATTCCAAATTTCCGCTACTGGTTCTCCAGAACTAGTCAGAACCTGCTGAATACCATCTCTGATATAAGCCAATCCAGAATGATACAATGGTTTATAGCAGGGGTGGGATTCAAATTTTTTAATAACCGGTTCTGTGGGCGTGGCTTAGTAGATGGGCATGGCTTGGTGGTCATGTGACTAGCTGGGCATGGCCAACTCAACATTACTCACATTGAGGCACACATCTCCTTGCCTGGCCTCTCATGACTGTGTGGATGCTGCAACAGTCATAAGTGTGAAAAACAGTCATAAGTCACTTTTTTCAGTGCCATTGTAACTTTGAATGGTCACTCCACACAAACAAAGTACCAGCAAAGGAGGAAAAAAAAAACTCCAGAGAAGTTCCAGAGACAGGAAGTCTAGTCCTGCCAAGAATGTAAAAGAGTTAATGGAGGAGAAGTTTCTGTAAGCAACACCAGAATGTTTCCTTCCTGCCTTCCTTACAGGATTAGGCCACTAATTTCTTCAAACAACTGGTTCTCCAAACTGTGTAGAATGTTAACAGCCGGTTCTAGTGAATAGGTGTGAACCTGTAGAATTCCAACCTCTGTTTGATAGTATCGAAAGCTGCCAAGAGGTCAAGTAAGGTAAGGATGGATGCACTACTCTCATCTCATCCACGCTAGAAGTTGTCCATAAGTATGTCCAATGCCATTTCTGTTCCACACCTGATTCTGAATCCTAACTGAAAAGGACCAGAAAATCCACTTCCTCCAATGCTCTGAAGCTGTTCCCCAAACACCTTCTCTACCACCTTCCTCCCAAAAAGGGAGGTGAGATACTGGACAAAAATTGTCCAACATATAGTGAATTCAGTAGCAGCTTATTGAGGAGGGGGGAGCCCTCTCCTTTCATTATAACTGAAAGCTTCTCTTCAAAGTTAAGACACTTAACTGGACACTTATGTGTTTTGCCACTTTAGAAATGCTGGAAACAAATATTGGAATTGACAACCTACTAATGCTTACCAGAAAGATTTTGATAGTTAATTGCAAACATTAAATGGCTCCTTATGTTTGAACATAAGCAAGTGGTAAGCTTTATCACCCAGACATTTTATTTCCATTGTTAGACCAATGTTTCCAGGAACAGAACATTATGGCATTTGGGAAAGATTTGGAAGAGTGAATAGTCATTTGTCCAAGATCCAATATGATCTCCTACCTAGGCAAGAGGTTGGACTAGAAGATTTCTAAGGACCCTTCCAATCCTATGATTCTAAATTAGAGCCTTCTAATATTTAGTGATCCAGCCATTTATATGCAAATTATTATTATGACTGGTCTATCAGTGGGATTACTCTTTTTTATGAAGGTATCATTCATTTCTTCTGGACTAAAATAAACTTCTTGGGACAGAGCCACATGGTATCTTCTTTGTGTGGCTTCAATTTAATGTTATTCTAACTGATTTGGAAATACCTAGAATATTTTAATGCAATTAATTCTAATATTAAAATTCAGCATCTTGAATGAAATTCAGTTAGAAATATAAGCAGCATGTTTAAAACTTACCATGACCATTATCCAAAAAGGTAGTTATCATGTATGCACTGCATGGAGACCAAGGATGGTTTCGATCCAAGTTGGAAAGCATAGATGCCATCATGTGAGAATCCCTATTTATACCATTAATACTGGAACACTGCTTTGCATCATCATGTGGCATATTAAACACGTGGCCTTTAAAAAGAAAAGAAAAAAGCAATGAACTCATCACACACTAAAACTTGCAGTATGGTGGGAACTTACTAGTTGGACTTATCATGGCTATGTGACACTGATATTAGTTAATATTTTATTTTGAGTTCTATTCAAGCCATTGATTGTCATCTATTTATATGGTTTGAGGACTTGGTATCTTTGATGCCTTCTACCTCAGATAGATTACACTTATAGAAAATGAGTAAGCAAGGAATCCCTGCTGAAGTCCCTCATTCATCATGCTGAAGATCTCATTTTTGTATGGTCCCTTTCAATGGAATTGTTGTCCATAAGTGGCCCTTACTTTCATGGAGTTTTGGAAGTTTGTCAAGAGTGGCTTTATGGGAGGACTGTGAGACTAATTCTGGTTTGAGTGGGACATGACAATATTAATTTTGTTTGAAGCTATTCTTGATTAGAATAGAATAGAATAGAATAGAACAGAACAGAACAGAACAGAATAAACAGAGTTGGAAGGGACCTTGGAAGTCTTCTACTCCAACCCCTGCTTAGGCAGGAATTATTATGTAATACATTGTGTATTGTGTAATATTATGTAATTATAATGTAAACTATTAAATAATTTACTGTATTATTATGCATTTTTAAATTCTACATTGCTTGGAATCTGATGGATCATAGTACTGAAATCTTATAGTCACACTTTAATATTATATTGTATGCTTAATTTTCTTTTAAGCATTGTGTTTTTATGCTGGCTTGTAAGAACTGATATCAAAAAATAAAGCCAACGCTCACCTCTTTTACTCCATATGATAATTTAAAGCTTTTTCTTTCTTTTTTCTGAACTTAAACTGTGGTTTATAAATCATATACAAAGGTTTCAACTTAACACACAAGATTTGTTTGGGTGTATTTTAAAAGTCTCAGGCACTTCTTTCCCTCTGAAACCTACATTTACTTTTTGTCACTGAAATATATCACTTTACAATAGTAATCATATCAGTAGTCATTTTCACATATACTGAGAAACTTTAGCTCACAGTTTTGTCCCAATGTTGGTAAAACCTGGACTTCTGATGGTTTATACTATAAGTGGAATATACCTGAATGATGATGCATTAAAAAAAACCTCTGGGACATTCTGGGATAGTGTTTCTCAACCTCAAAATTTTAAAGATATGTGGACATCAACTCCCAGAATTCCCCAGCCAGCTTTGGGAGTTGAAATCTACTCATCTTAATGTCGCTGAGGTTGAGAATCACTGTCTACGAGAAAGGTTATGGTTTAATCTTTTGCCTCGATCTAGATTTCATACATTTGAAATTTTATTATATAATGACTGAAGCCAGTACTTTTGTCTGACGTGGCAGAGTCTAGGCACCATGGTGAGAACTAGACCACAGTAACTGCAAGAAACAACTGATTTAAAGCCTTAACTGCAGACCAATATGATAAGACATGTTTTTAAAACAAATACGTTTGCCACAAATTTCCCCTGAATTTCAATTACCTAATTCATGTGTGGTTGTAAAAGCAGCTTGCAAGCCATCATCTTCTATGACAGAGCAACTGCGGTTTGGATCACAAGCAGTTCCCACATCAGCCATCCCAAGAGTGTCACATGTTTTGGCCCCACAGAGATCCTATAAAAAGAAAATATGTACTTTCATTATTAAATGGGACAGGAGCTTGTCTGACAGAATGAAATTATTTTGGCAATATGCCTTTTTATAATGGAAAGAGCATAACAGTCTTCAAAAATAAAAAAAAATGTCATTCAATATGGAAGATGTATTAAGAACAGATGATGATGACTGCAGTATTATTACAACCATGCTACAACAGATGTTTAGTGTAGTATTTCTATGAATTAGTTAAGTAAACTATTTCATTATCTCACATTTTAAATGATAACAATAGTTTCTATTCAATTTTTATAGCTATTTGTCAAGGGAGAGACTTGAGACATCTTCTGAATGCTTGAAAGAAAGTGGATGTTCATGGTCATGTAACATTAAAGCTTCCTAATCAAACACTCAATAAATATTTTTGTTTATTTTTTCCATGGGGAACACTATTAAAGGTATAACAAATTAAATTCATGGCACCAGATCATTCCAAGAAACCACACTGTTGACACACTGTTTAAAATATTTCAAATTAAAAAACATAAAAGTAAAGAAGTATTTTTGAATCTACTGACTGAAGAAAGTTCAAATTACATCAACTGGAACCTATAAATATCCAGTCTTTCCTGTATTTTGCCTTACCTGTCTGGTAAAAAGAATTGCAGTATCATAGTGTTCTGCGTGCCGGTCACTGGGAGGATTATGTTGCTTCTGCCAGTTGCAAAAATTCCTTAAAGTGAGAGCAGCATTTGAAGATACATCAGGCCCCTTCTGCTCATCATAGATGACTATTATTTTCACCACCACCAAATTAATAGGGTTCCGGATACTGGGATGCTTGTACATTCTACTGGCCACAGACAGGAGTGTGAGAAGGTAATGCTTCAGTCCACTGCCATGGAACTCTGCCATAGATTGGTCTGCTACAAGCAACGTTTCCACATAGCGGGCGCTCGATACAAATCTTTTCTTCCTTATATGTCTATTTTCTATATTAAAAAAGTAAAATGTAAGAAATATATAGTACCAATATTTCCTAACAGTATTTATACAACTGCCAAATCATAATCATCAACCACTGCCAAGACAGAATGGGAAGCACAAAGATTATCTAAACAGTCCATTCTTTTTGATTCATTTTAAATAAAACTTTAAAAAAACCTAAAGAATATTAATGAATGTTAACCCTACTACAAAGGGTTAAATCCTCAGGCTGCCTATTAAGAAATATTTCCATTGAGGATTTTCCACATGAATCGTAACTGCTAATAAATTTTCATAGCCATCATCCTTAAATATTAAAATTACTGAAATGAAAGACTTTGTATGGATCTGATCCAAAATTTCCCCAGGGCATGGAAAGGGAAATACTCCCATTTTCTTTCTCCGGTTTCCAGTTCCTGTTTAGTAATCAAATAGAAAGGAGTTTCAACTTGCTGCAACTAAAAGTACTTCAGTTATGTAGGTGTCTCATTGTCCAGGTCTGGCAAAGTTTATGCCTGGCCTGAAATTGAATGGAAGCTATTCAGGGATATCATTTGATTGGGAACTAAAAAAATCATCCTAGAAGAATGAGCGTAAGAAACCAATACTATTTGGCTTTTGAGGTAACTACACAAATGTGTTCATGAATTAATCAAGAATGCAGTTCATCTTAAGAGAGACTTCTCTATTAAAAAGGAAAAATATGCTTTCCCATAATAATGTTTGTTGTCACATGCAAATATTATATATTAATATTTTATGTTTGTGGCTTTCTACATGAGAAGCCAAATACAATATTAAACAGTTGATTTCAAGAGGAACTGATAGTGGACTGTCCTTGAATCAGCACTAAACAGCATAACCTAGATGAGGTTCAGCATAAAAATCTTCAGAATTGTTTGTTCCAAGATTGGTAAATATTGCACGTCTTTAATTGCAAGTATGCTCCAAACTAGTATCCTACAAATATTTATTACAATTCCAAGGCAGAAGGGCCAATGGCTATCAATTCTGGAAGCTGGAATCCAATATATATAGAAGGCATCAGATTAAAGAAAATTTACGATACCTTTGTGTGAATAATGACTACATGAACACATCTATCTAGTTTTCTTGCCAAAAATATGGAAGTACATTGCCTTCTAGGATTTTTTATGGCAGTCTCATATACATGGGCAAGTAAACTCCTTAGGTTATTCAAGTAGGGCCTAGATTCTGGGTACTGATTCTCACCAATGGAACTGAAAGTAATTAGTGAATAACTCCAGATTTCCCAATTAAAATACCAGCCTAAATTTTAGTGAAACGCACCATGAAATTGATTAGAAATTGCATACTTAATATATCTGATATATTTTTATTTACAAATTACAATCTAATCCCAAAGAAGCTTGCTTGATAATGTAAGCCCCAAGCAATTCCACAGAATGTATTCCAAAACTGACATGCATATGTTACAGATTCAGTATAAGATTAAGGCATTAATTTAAGGGAAATCCATTGCATTAAGAATGTGCACTTTTTATCAATTTTTTTAGAAAGTGAGTAAAGCATTGTAAACTAGACATGCAAACCAAGTTTTAACTGAATTGCTACTTTGCCCTTTGCCTGACAATGTTATAACAGTAGAATCTTATGTGTTCTTTCCTTTGCTGCATGTAACTCAGTGGAATTCTAAGGAGACATTACATTATATTCAGCCAGGGTATTTCATATTACCTTTAACCAGCTATACGCTACAGTATTCACATTATCAAAGTTTGAATTGACAAACTAAACCATAAACCAGCTAATCATATTTCAGCTTACCATGAATCTACAGACCCATGTATATGAAACATATATGCAGTGCACCGTTTGAATCCAGATAACTAGGGTGAATCTGGTAAACCATGTGATGCAAATTCAGGCACCCGTTTTCCATGCAGGACATTCTTGTTTTGTGATTGCATTTTCCTTATTGCTTTAAGTATCATAAGCTCATTTATTGGGTGCATCTCACAAACTACAGGTTCAGAAGGACCACTCTGGAGTAAGTATGCACGAGCTGTCATCAACCAGTAACGTCCGAAATGCTTGTTACAAAATGTCTTTCACTAATCGTCATTTCAAATTCTATCGTATTTAGCCTAAGGCAGCTCCACACCCGAGACTTCTCCAAGTATCTTCCTGCCTTTATAGAAAAACATTAATCCCACGTATTTAACCTGATTTGCTCCCATTCATAAGGCCTTATCCTGGAACTTTTGGGAAGCTGTTAACTGCAATCAAAATATTTAACTTCCCTCCTAATAGCTGGACTCGAGAAGTCACTAATTTACCCTAGATACCCCGAATCAACAGCGCCTCCCTATCCCACGGCTTTCCAGCCAGAAAGGCCACGAAATTCAGTTCAATCTAGTACTTTTTTTTTAACGCCTCCGTTTATGACCTCAGCTTTCAGAGTGACCAATAGCAGCACGTCGAAATGTGGCTTTTGGACCATTCCGAACGCACTGAAAACCCTGTGTCTGGGGCGCATGCGTGCCGTGCAGCATCGTCACTGCTGCTCCCAGAGCTAAGCTCCTTGCTCGGACAAGGGCGGTGAAGAGAGGTGCGGTGCAGGGAGAGTAATACCTGCGCGGGTCGCGTAGTCCGGTTGCTGCTCTTCTCCTCGGTGCGGCCGCCCTTCAGAGGCCGAACTTTCGTTGGAGTCGGGCACCTCGCACTTCGTACCGCTGCCACGGGGGACCCGGCTCTGCCGAGAACGGCTAAGGAGGTGCAGCTCAGGCTGCTCCCCTCCTGGAGCCTGGGAGACGTTAGCCGGCTGAATGAGGTACTCTGAGCCGCGCAGGTAGAAGGCGCCGCGGATTCCTCCGCAGAGGCTGAGCGCTGCGGCCGAGGCCGGATCCCCATTGACCGTGCCGGAATAGAAGCAGCTGGCTAAGTTCGCGCCGAGCGCTTGGTGGGACTCCTCTTCCTCCCTCCGGCCTTGGGGGCGGCTGCCAACATATTGGAACGTCAGAGCCGGAGCTAAAAAGCTGTCGTCGGGCTTCAGTTCCAAACTGAAGCGCTCGCCAAAGGCGTCCAAGCGGTAGAACTGCTCGTCGGCCGCTCGCCTCCGCTCGCCTGTATCCACTTTCACGGGCACCACCAGCTCCTCCTCTTGGGGCGAAGAAGGGCTGCCTCGAGCACCCAGCGAGAGCAAAAGCGTGCTCAGCGCCAGGCATGCCTTAGCTCCCTTCATGCTGCACCTCCGCGCGCGAGGCGATAGAAAGGAAAATGAACAAGAAGTACGAGAGTTTTGAAAACGTTGCAAATGGCAAGCAAATGGCGCCTTAAAGCACCAGCGGGCAGAACGTCTGTCGAGCCCTTTAGAGGCGAGCTAAATGCGCTGCTTGTAACGGCCTAGGCGGACTAGAAGAGCGCTGTAGGGCTCCTTCCGCGCCCTGAATTCACTGGCAAAGTCCTGAAGGAGAACCAGAGACAAACCAGCCTCGGCTCTTCGCCTCGAGTATGAGAGCGAAGGCAACGCGCGCTTGCACTTATAAGGAGAACGTTCAGGCCCCCCTTTCCCCCCTCTGTCTTGGAGGCGGGAATCAGCTTGAGCTCATTTGTACGTAAAGTCAGAGGCAACCGTGTCCCTGCCCGTCTCTTTTTGGCGGTCAGACAGCCTTAGGCTTCCCGAAATGGGAGAACATATAAGCTGAGGAGGGGGGAAATAGGTACTTTACTCGCTCAAGCTACTATTCCCCCAAAGCTACCCGGCCTGGCAGTCCTTTTACTCTCCCTCGGTACAGCTCACGCTCCTCAAGTTTTCCGCGTAGGAGCTGCTGCGGTTTCTTTTTCCAGGAGGAGGAGATTTCCTTGAATCCTTTCCATCCAGTTCTGTGCCAGATCCTTTTTCCTTCCACCGCCCTGGCTACTCCAAGCCCTTTTGAGAGCCAAGGTTTTTAGGACAGCAGAGCACAAATGAAAAAATACGAGATATTTTACACGTTAGATAGATGGTTGTACGTTTCGGGAAAGACTTGGAAAGCTAAGGCCATAGTAGCACAATTGCTCAATATACATCAGTGATAGAACAGGTGAACGTGAGGGCACTGCATGTCCTGCATTCATAGGTATCCACCACATGAAGTGACTTTCTATTGTGTTCATCTCACCTAGTAAAACACTGGGTAATAAATGTTTCAAAGAAGAAAGCATTGGGGGACCAAGGCACAATATTTACACCCTTCTGTTTTGGACCTAAAAACAAAGCTCTTTATTATTTGGTTCCAAGAAACTTACTAGTTTAAAGGAATAGCATGTATTAAGGAGACCTTGATTAGTTGTAAGCAGAGAGTTATCTGTAGGTTATTTCCCTTTAAAGTTTTCATTGTACCTACTGTACTATTATAGCCTGCATGTATAGACTGTTACATACCCATACAATTGGAAGCCTATACTTTTTAGATAACTTAAGCAGAAACATTTATGTGGGTACAGTTTTCCAAACAAGCTCTAGCAGTACAGCTAATCCACTTAATTCTTTGTATGCATCAGGCTTGGACTTTCTGTTTTGATTGCATGATTTCTGCATTCCCCCATTCCAGTTAAGATAGGCTTCTAGAGACTTAGGATAAAGATTCTTCCCCCAGACACGTCTGGAATAAGTAAAGCTTTGGTTCCAAAGTTTTCTATTGCATCATCTCTACATGAGAGTAATATTCATAGTGGTGTTTTTTTTTTCATTTGGCCTTTGTACAAAGACCACGTTTTACTGTTGCCATCTGCCTGTAGGGATTTGCTCCCTAGATCCAAAGGCCACGACTATTCTTGCATCACAGTTGAATATATATTTGGCCATTTTTGTTGTATAATTAATATTTTTGTTATAAATCAGTCTTTTTCATGCAATAATTATTTATCTTTCATTCTTTCATTATAATCCTTTTTCCATCACTTTTACAGTATTTTCCTTCCTCCCAAATAATCTGCACTATATTAAAAACCCTTTGACTGAACATCTCAATTGTCAAGTTTTTCTTTCAGAGTTTCATTTCATTAGATGCAACTTTGTTCATCTGTTATTTTTGCTTATTACTTGTTGGACAAGGATAATATATTTAAACAAGATCCAGAGAATTATTAGATTTTTTTTTTATCCACTGAGCCATGCAGCATTAATGGGAAAAACTAGAATTATTTCATAAGATATATTTGTATCAGCACAAACATTTAGATTATAAGGACTCTGGATTTATCCCTTCCAAAAATGTTAATATAGTGTGTTAGCAAACAGATTAAAAGTTCTTTGTAATGTCTAAGAAAAGATAAATAGAATTTTATTTCAGATTTGATTGTCTCATATTTATTTTCCTGGAGCCACCTATACTGTGAGTTTTGATTAGAACAAATATTTTTGTGTTTATTAATTTGGAAAAATGGTGAAATCCACTCCTGTTATTTTTGCTTGAAAGTAAGTACCTTGAATTCTGTAGGATATAATCCAAAATGAACAAAGATTGTTTTCACTGGTTTCATAAGCATACTTAATATGAAGCAAATCTTTTCAAGCTTAGTGCCCAACTCCTAGCAAATACCCTAGAAGTTGAACCAATGTGCATAGATGTTTCTTAAAAAGGTATTTTACAACTTAAAATTACTAGCATTAATATATCGTTGGTTTCAATCTAATGATCTCCCTATTGAAAATTCAGCAAACTAGCTACTTATCAAATATTTTATGATCACGTGTACCCTATCTAACCTCAATACTGTACCAATAGTTTAAAAAATACAGACCACCTTAAACTATTTTATAATTAAAATATTTTTTTCCAGCAGATGGCACCCTAAGCATTCAAAACCATCAGTTTCCTAATGTTTTATAACTTTGAATTTAGTTTCTTCTGGAAGCATTAATGTTTTACATATCTGTAAATGGCTTAGAGAAGGCTGTAGTTTTATATAGTGCTATATAAGTCTTTAAGTGCTATTGCTATCATTTTGCAAAAAAAAATTCAATATATGTATATTATCTAAGAAACTAAAATGAATGAAAATACTGATACATTTTTGGTATTAAAATACTAAACGTTATGTAAACATGAAAATAATATCCAATTAAATCAGAATGTACGTACATATATAGATAAGGATAAATTACCTTGTACATGAGGCATATTTTATATGAGGTATAGATTTGATAACCAGCCTATGGCTGGACTATCTAATAAACAGATTGTTCTGTTAAAGGAGCTTTCTTTATAACTAAACTGGTTACAAATGAAGCCATGCTTCTTTGAAATCTGTGGATTTAAATCATGATTTAAAAACAATTGGTTATGGTAGGAATAATAGATAAGTAACAGAACAAATAATCTTGTTATGTCACTGCCCCAAAGCAAATCCTGTTGAATTCCAGTAAATTTACTTCCAGGTAAATATACCTGCAGTTGTAATTCAGTGTATCCTACTTTTTAAAATAGAAAATACTGACAAATGTTACACCATAAACCATGTTTAACAAATTGTGTTCAAATATTATGCTAAGCGAGAGTTAAGGAGTCTAGTACAATCTGTGAACCCACTTGTTTGGACTGAGAATGGTACTGATTGAGTCAGTTACATCCAAGATGGAAGAATTTGTTCACATTTCTTGTAGTTATTTAGTTGTAATATTGCAAAATAAACTTGAAATCATTGTTCAGTCAAACCGTCTCATGAAGAGTTCTGGGAAAATAAGGATATTTTTACACACCTTAAGTGACTATAAATTAACCCCATAACTCTGTTTTCCTGAGGGATAAAATACACTGGAAAGTTTATGAAATAATTTGCATGCAGCTGGACCCTGTGTTCTTCCTATGCTATTAGTGCTTGATAGTTCTAGAATTGTACTGTGTTTCCCCAAAAATAAGACCTATCCAGAAAATAAGTCCTAGCCCAATTTTTAAGCATGCTCCAAATATAAGCCCTACTCCCCCAAAATAAGCCCTAGTGAAGACCGTCATCAGACTGGGCGTGAGGAGGCATGGCCAGCACGAAATGGCGAGTGTGTGGGGACTGCTGGAGAGAACCAGCCCAGCAGTAGTAGGGCTGTCATCGGCCCCTGCACTCACCACCTCCTGTACATGAAAAAAAAAAGACATCCCTCGAAAATAAGCCCTGATGCTTATTTTGGAACACCCCAAAAATATAAGACCGGGTCTTATTTTTGGACAAACATAGCATACACAATTCTAATTCTGTTGATAAAATTCAAACCACCATGAAGAAATACGTAGACAACGAAAAAAAATATTGTAGCATTCTCACTTTTCAAGCTGAATACCTATTTCAAAACACGCTGAACAAGTTAAGCTCAGCAATTGAAAAAAAATACTTAAAAAATAAAATAATAAGAGGTGAAGTTTGTGATCTAAACCACCAGATGGCTCACTAACTTCAGGAAAATAATCACTGTAATGAACTAATGTTTTAAGATATTTGTATGAATTGTACTACCACAGTAATGTAGAATTTTGCCAATTTCAAATTGATATGTTGCATTTACAAATCTGGATTGCCTTGAGAAGATACTGTTTATTGAATGGTAATAGTTGTTTATTGCTGCATAAATGAAGTATTAATATGTTCCATGAAATCAGAAAGTAAAAGTAAATTACCAATATCTAAATAATGCTTGAAATTGATAGATGATATTTCATAATCCAGTCCAAAGACTCATACAATGCAGAATAACTAATGTTACGGTTTTTACTATTTTGTTTAGGTTAGATTAGATAATGAAACATCTATAGATCATTGCTAAGGCACTGAGTGCCATCTGGAGTTTGCACTGCTGTTTAATCAGACACGTGATCCTCTAGTGCCTTGTCTGGTCAAATGCATGCTCATACATGATTGCAGTCCGATAAAGATGATTATTCAGCTTTGCCTCAAACATTTTGTTTCTTGTGACAAATAAGTGGAACATCTCTCCATTTCATATAAAAATTCATATGAAAACTGATCAAAGTGATAAAATCCTACTGTGGCATTCATGGCTGTGCATTGATGATGTGAAGCGCCTTGTAGCTTACCTTTATCTTTATTTATTTATTAAAGTTATAGGCTACCCACAGTTGCCTTGAACTACAAGATGGGTGGCATATAAATTTAATAAATAAATAAATGTAAGATAAGCTACAAGGCACTTCACAGCTCAATCTTCCAAACATTAGGACAGCTTGACAGTGCTATACATACTGCTAATGATAAGGCAGACTAATGATTCACCCCATCACATGAAGAGTATGTTGTTATAGAGAAATAAACTAAACTGTTTTCTTGACTCAAGTTTGCCAACATATAATTTCAACATGAATAAGATCAAGAGTGTGCTAATTTAGTATCAGATAATGTTAAGATAATCAAATTTGGAGTCTGTCTGTTACATATATACAATAAGAACACACATATTTATAACAATTTACAATTACTTAATTACATAGATTTTGGTTGTTTAATTTGTTACACTGTTTCTTATTAAATTAGTAAGCTGTTGGTCAGCTATCTGTTTCAGAGAAGTCACTGGTAGACCTCATGTCTGAAAGCTATCGCAGTTAGGTACAGCACAGGATTGTGTTTAACCTAAACTAAAACTTTCTGGAAGTCAGTGGGAAGAGGAAGTATTAAATTCTGGGTTTTTCCTGGCATTTTCTCTACTAGAAAAAAATAAGTTGTCATCTTTGGAATGCAGTCTAACTGGTTTCTCTTGTCTTCCTTTCCTAGTACCATTTAATTGCAAATAATCTGACCATTGCAAATGAAACATTCCCTTTCTTTCTCCTGATTGTACAAGCTGATTCTTGACTCTTGGCCTTTGAGTCTCTCCTTATTTAGTAAAAAGATAATTCCTTGAAACTTCAGGGGCATTTTTATTTTGAATTACGAGTGGGAGAATTTTCATCCTTCCAGCTTCTCCACAACCTGAAACTTTCCTTGAGCTATATCTGAAACTTTTTGCTCCCCACTTCTAATCCAATGGTTCTCAATTCTTTCTTCACCATGGGCCCCTTTTAAATACATTTTGTGACCACAGACCATGGCAATGGACCCCCAAAACTTAATTCAAGATTTAAGTCATCTTTTTTCAAGCCTTTGCAGACACCTTGTGATGACATTGTGCCCCCCCGGGGTCCGCAGAGCACAGGTTGAGAACCACTGATCTAATCTTTATTTAGCTCATCAGGAGCCTCAGCCTTTGCTTTATCAAACTTCATCATATCATACTTAACTCAGTTGTGATGTTTGAAGCAGTATCCCTCTACGAAAACATTTACAAGAATAGGAATCTAACCTGACCAAGAATTAGTCAGGCGCATTTTATAATGGAAACAGGAAGGTGTATATTTACAGGACATTTTAGGGATAAGCTCAACCTAGTGCCTAGCTAATTATATCCCAGCAGAACAGAGGCAAAAAAGGAAGTGTTCTTGGAAGAAAAACAGAAGGAATAATCCTTTAGATGAATAATCTCTAAATGAGTATAGGCACAATGATAGACAAGGGATATATATAGTTAATACCTTCACCATACTGTCCTTAGAGCAATACATCATAAGTCCTGAAGAGTGAATGCAATTGAATAGATCTCCAAAATTTCAAAGGTCACCTATCATTTTGAAATTGCAGTCTGATTACTTATATAAAAGAATATAAAAGTAGATCTTGGTTAGGGACTGCCTCGTTTAGTGAACATTCAAAATTATGATGGGGATGAAAAAGTAACTGACTAATCCCTGCATTTATGACTTTCAAAGGTCTGTAAAACAAAAGAAAACTGAAGTGAGATTGTAAGCACAGTGAAAGCTTCACTTAACGATTGCTTCTCTTAAAGAACAAGATGCTGGTCCAAATTATAGTCAGGTAAAGGAGGAATACTTGTACTAGATCTTGATGATGCTTCTGAAGTTTCTTACTTAGTGTAAGCTTCC